AATCTATGGTGACTTTTGGTAGAGTCTCGGTTGCTGGAAAATGCATCAGCAGAATCAAAACTCATTAATCATCAAAAGTGTCTTTACAAGGGTAGCTACCATGAATTTATATGTGATCCATGGAGCTTGCAGCGAGGCAATGACCCATGTGTAAAATGTGAAAGACTTATGAAAAATGTGCTAAAAACTAAAGCAGCACGTGAGCTGGTGGTGTTGAGGGACGGAGGTGCTGCCGTGGTGTGCTTAGCAAAGAGTGGTGGTGCGGCTAGCAACTTTGACCATCAACTGGACAGTTTTACCCCTTCTCTTGGTGTCTCCAAATTCCACTTAAAATGAAGAAAAAAGAACGTGCCCTGTTGTGTCCATATCTTCAAGCTCTTCTTGGATTCTTCTAGTCATACTTCTAGTAATGGGTCCCTACCTTAAGTCATCATTTCTGTAACCATTTCAGATCACATAAATTGTATTACATTATCCCAGAAACATAGAAAGAAACACATAAACAAACATGCACACAAAACACTGTCCAAAAAATGTTTTTTTCTATTTTTCAAAAAACAGTAAACATGAAACGTTGTCTAGAAAACATTGCACACAAAATGTTTTCCAACAAACAACCAAATGAAACATGAAAACCCTAAAATAAAACTAACCTTAAAGGTGACTTTGGGGTTGAAACAAAACAAAATGAACATTCAAAGCGTTTATTCGAAGAGCACCTGTGCACAAAATCAATCGGTCATAATGAAATAAAATCATTCCTAAGTACTTCATCAACAAAAAATGAAAGAAAAATTGGAAGAAATGTTGAAGATGGTGGTTCTGGCACAACGTGAAAATGAAAACTCAAGGTGGTTTCTTTTGACGCTCGAGTTGTAAGGTGGTTTGTGGATTGCAGTAGAAGAGACACGATTTAAGTTGCAAGTTCATGGATGGTGTGATATGTGAGAGTGGTTATGCGTGGCTGGTGGTTCTAATGATGCATCGTCGTGATGTAGTGGCCGACTTTGGTGGTTGATGGCAGTCTTAGGGTTTTGGGTTGTGGGATAAATACACATGGCAGCTTGTTATTGTTCAGATTCCAACTCATAGTATGATAGACGAGCAACGTAAGCAAACATTGAATAGCTATTCAAGCACTATATATAGTCTGTAGTTAGCAATTTAGACGACATTATAAAAAATGACCAAATTGAACATAAATTATCAAAATTAGAACCACATTGAACATAAAAAAACAGAATCTCACGTTAAACAAAGTCGACGAAAATAAGGACCAAAATATTATTTAAACTTTTTTCTTCTCTATTAATTAATTTATCATAAATAACTTTTAAAGTAATCATACATTTTATCATATAGGAACTTAAGATATATTATTTATACAATAACATATTTTGTGCTTTTTTTTTTCTTTTTGTCACTATCATTTTTTAACATACTACACCAATGGATAAAGATAAACATGAAAAAAAAATATTGTACATATTGTTGTACGGAATGTTATACATGTATAACTTCTTATAACTTAGATTCGAAAAACTCATTATAAGTGAATTAAAGTTGGTTAGTACGTTGGTAAAGAACAATATGAAAACCTAAAAGTTAATAACCTTTCATATTTAATACTTTTTTTTATTTAAAATGACTCATTTATTACATTCCTCTTTCACAGTTTAACTAACTCTAACTAAAGGTTTAATTCTATCTTTTTGTTTCAAGTTTTATTTTCCACACTTCAATATTTTACTTTTAAGCGTATATAGTCTTTTTTTCAAATACATGATAGTAAAAGTAAGAATGAGTTACTTTACATTTACTTCCTTTTCTATCATTTTATCTTTTATCGTTATTTAACAACTCACATTTATTCCTTTATTTATTTATTTCTCTCGCTTAAATAAATTCGAGTTATAAAACTATTTTCTTAAAATAAATGCCATGACGCGTATCTTTGTTTTTTTTTTAAATAAAAAGTTGCTTTAATAAAGAAAAAATTGCTTATATTATCGCAAAAAAAGGACAAAAAGTAAGCCAAAAGGGTAAAATGTCCAATACCAATAGTAGCTTTGAATAAAAAAAACGTATTGAGATGTCATAATAAAACACATTTTAGCTCACAACCATTAGAAGCATCACACTCATTCTCTTGTCTTATTTGTGTTCTTTTTCCTTTTCTTCCATGAATGAAACGAAACTTTAGGGTTCCTTCTAATTTGTCCCCAAAATTCTTTGGGTCAGAAAATTTTCACCTTCGTTGTCCAAGCTCAAATCCCTTCCCATTTCCAGCTCTCCACCAAAAGCTTTCTCATAAATAGAGTTTAGAGAGACCCTTCTTCAACCATGTCGAAAACGAAGTCAAGTAAAAAAGACTTGAACTCCTACACCATCAAAGGTACCAACAAGATCGTAAGAGGTAATTGCTAGAAATTTTTTCTCTTTTTGGGTAACTAGTTGTTTAAATTGCAACAAGATTGTTACTTTTGTAATGGGGACAATGAGAGAATGGTTTGAATTCATGTGGGTGATACGATGATGAGTGAAAAATGTTCCTTTTGTAGTTGGGGACCATGTGACGATGCGCCCTCCTGATACGAACAAGGCACCATACGTGGCTCGTGTTGAGAAAATTGAACCTTGTCGTAAGAACGATGTGAAGGTGCATGTTAGGTGGTACTATAGGCCTGAAGATTCCATTGAGGGACGTAGGAGATTCCATGGGGTGAAAGAGTTATTTTTGTCTGACCATTATGATGTTCAAAGTGCTCATGCCATTGAAGGGAAGTGCGTTGTGCACTCTTTCAAGAACTATACCAAGCTTCAGGATGTAGCTGCTGAGGATTATTATTATAGGTTTGAGTACGAGGCTGCTACTGGAACTTTCACACCTGATCGTGTAGTTGTGTGAGTGCCCCTTTTGTTTTCAATAAAATCATGTTCTTGTCTGTGTTTTAAGTGTTTGAAATTTTGGATTTCATTTTGTTGATTTTCTTGCGTTTTTGAAGGTACTGCAAGTGCGAGATGCCTTATAACCCAGATGTACTTATGGTGCAGTGTGAGGAATGCAAGAATTGGTAACATTAGTTTTTTTTATTTCTTGAATTACTTTTATTACATTTATGAGTGAATTAATTTTGAGGGGCTTTAATTTTTTATTTAGACGTGGTTTTTTTTATGAATTAATTTAGATATTTTATCTTAGATCCTAAAGGTTATTCGCCCTAAACAAAAGGAAGATTGACAAACACCACAAATTTTTTTGAAGAAGTTATAGAACAATGTTTTCTTAAGTTATATTGACAGGTTTGTTGTTTTTCAAACTTTTCATTTGCTGATGAACAAGGTTTGCATGTTGCTCTTGATAAGGTTTTGCTTCTTCAATCCAAGAAAAAGGGTTGAGAAACATGTAATCAAATAAATGACAAAAGGATTTTATAGTCTAAAGTTTTGATGTCTATACAGTAGTCATTTTTCAACAAAATTACAAATTATGTTTGGTGTCTTTTAATAATGTATCAACCTGTTCGATTGATGCAATGTTTGATTTCTTTTGCTTCGATTTTATAGTGTTATATAATATCTTGTTTATATCTACTTGTGATCTTATGAATTTCGTGAGAGAAATATTTTTCAACTTTGGTAGTATTTTAGGTACCATCCTGCTTGTGTGGACATGACTGCTGAAGATGCAGAAAAGTTGGAGCAATATGTTTGCTCAGAATGTTCATTTGTTGATGAAATGAAGAAATCTCAAGCTAAAGTTGCTCTATCACCAAAAACTGATAGCGAGGTGATGCTACTTATTTATAATCTTCAATTATTTAATACAGATGCACTTTTACTTATGTTCCTTTTCAGTTTCTTTATTTATGCAAGAGAAAGAACCCTAGAAAATTCAATCTTTTTTGTATGTAGTAGAAAGTGGAACTAAATTTTTCTTTCGTTGAATTTTTTGCCTATGGTTATTCAAGCATTTTTTTTTTTACATGAGTTTGCTTCAAAATGTGATTAGTTAAAAGAATGTTGTCAGATGATTAAAAATTAAATAATTAATATTTCACATAACTTAATAATGTATTTGAATATTTTATTAGCTGAAATTATTGATTGAGGTATAAATTTTATTTATTCTTAGGAGATCTTAATTTTATGCTTGTACTTAAGCATATTCACTTTGTTTTGGTGTTTCTTTGACTAAGTTAGTATGTCTGCTTTATTTTTATTTTCATCTTTTACTTTTCTTGCATGCTCGTCCTCAACAGTTCAGATATATATATAAGTTTTGACCAAATTATTCTTTTCTATTTATTTCATTGACTCTATGAGTGAACTAGATTCCTTCATTTTGGGAGTGTGGAGAGGGAAATTTTGTCATTATTTTTTCTTCTTATTGTCAGGCTAAATCAGTGAAGCAAAATTCACGATATATAAATCTACCTTTTTTGTTTTTCCATAAATGCTAATTAATAAGTAAATATGACATTTTAACAATGGTTAATTAGTTAAGAATAATTTGTTTATAGTATCATAGCATTGAGAGTGACCCTTTTGAAAAAAAAATGTAAGCTCAAATTTACATTATAATTTTTAATGTTTTTTATACTTTAACAAAACAAATACCATGTATATAGAAACTTATTATATCTTTTTTTATTTGTCTATGTATAATAAAAGTATAATATAGTCACTTGATGTCTTTCTTTTCTAGTTAAAATAATTCATTTTGACGTGCCAAATTCTTTAATCATTGATGCATTTTGTTGCATATAGCAGCACCATTAATTTTGTTTGCAAAATATTGTATGATAATTTTCATATTCAAGTTGAGAAATAGTAATATTGTTGTTTGAAAACATGGAGATATTTACTTAAAAGCAAAAATCATTATGAATATTCTAAAATTATGCTTTTTAAAAGATGATTATAGCATAAATTTAAAAATTTTATACTGTGAGTGTATAATATATTCAACCTAGTGTTATGTTTCACATTTATTCTTTCTATATAATGATGTTATGTTAATAAATATGCAGATTATTGAGCCCAAGCGACAAAGAATATAATCAGTACGCTGAATTAACTCATTGGAAATTAATTTCATTGGTTATTTGGTTGCTAGTGTATGTTTGCATATTGTACAAGTTCTATAAGAGGCTATATAAACATTGTATGTCTCAGACTTTGGCAATTTTTAATGTTTGAGATAAATGCAACTCATGAATAGTAGACTAAAAAGAAACTATCAATTCTCTAAAATTTGGATCTCTACTTTCTTATACTCATAAACTATTGTGCTGTTATTGTGAATTGTGTTATTATAATCAATATTTTTAAAACTCATATTAATGGTTGAATTAGTCAAAGTATTCAATTAGTCAATATTAGTTGAATTAGTGAGTCACTAGTCATCACATGAGTTTATAATTAAAATAATTAAATGCATATGTGTGTGTTGTGACATATAAATGATATAACTCTGTGATTTCAAATATATATGAGGACAAAATCATTAATGAGGTTCGGAACAAGGATGGTATAATGGTCATTTATGACATCCTTAATGTTAGACGATCAGGATTTTTTTGTGGTGATTTGAGGGTCACATGGGTAATGACCTTGAAAGGATTCGTGGATATTGCGAATAAAATTGGCGATGGATAGTTGGTATTTGTGAATATTTACTACTCACGGATTACAGATAGCAGGTATTTTAATATTCATTTATAAACGAGTTGAGTGCGGATATTATACTATTTGTACCCACAGATATCTGCTACGTAAAAAAAATAAAAATAAAAATATAGTTTATATTTTATTAAGTTAAATTTAATTAAAACTAACATTAATTTATACTTTATAAGGTTATATTTCATTAAAATTAATTTTATTATATTTAATTTAATTTATATTATATTTTATATATTTTTTGTAATTTTATTTTAATAATTTATAAAAATATATTTTTTTAAATATTTGTGGGTATATGCGGGTTTTAAAATACATGCGAATACTTTTGAAGCAGGTATATGTGCAGGTAGCGGGTCGGGTAGGGATGGACTTTTTTTTGTCGGATTGGGTTGCGGGTAGACAATATCCGTGTCCGACCCGACTGTTGTCATCCTAATATTGTCTAGCTCAACTAAGATTTCACATTTTTTTTTCACGGAATATTCAAAAAACTAATTATTATTTTTTATTATCATAAAAAAAATGAATGCATATGCACATAACACATGTTTCACTAGTACAGTAATAGAAATAGACACCGGTTAATTTTGTTTAAAGGCATCCGTTCTACAACCGAGGCATATACGAGCGAGGTAAAACAAGACAGGCTTTATGCCTCGGGTGATGAACCGAGATAAAACGAGACAGATTATGTCTCGGTTATTAGATAACCGAGGCAGTAGCGTGTTTTTTTTTTTCAGATTTAGGACTCGATTCATAGTGCTCTTCAGATCCAAAATCCATTGCGGTTGGTTATGTGGTGTAGTGGAAGCCATGTGCAAACCTTCAAGATTACCCAATATGCAACCAGAAAATCTCAACCCGAGATATTGGAAACTTGGAACCTGAAACATTTATGCAACCAGAAAATTCCAACCCGAAATTACCCAAGATTTCCCAATTTCAGAAACCCAATTTCATAGAACCCCAATGCAGAAAGTAATAAAAATGGGGATGAGGATCTGGTGGTGATGATCCTGGTGATGGTGACGATCCTGGTGGTGGTGATCCATGGCGGCCAACACTCCTCCTACTCGCAAAACGCACCTCCAACGCGTCCTTCCCCTTCGTTGGCTCCTAGTGGTGGTGATGATCCTAGTGGTGACGATTCTTCCCCTTCGTTTGCTCCTCCAACGCGTCCTTCCTACCAAAAGATCTCCAAACCCATCATTAAAAAACCCACCTTTGATCATCCTCACCCTCAGCCACCGCCACCGTCACAGCCCCAGCCACCGCCACAACCCCAACCCCCACCCTAGCCACAAGCCCAACCTCATAACCCTCACAGCCCTCAGCCTCAACCCTCAGCCCTCAGCCTCCAAACCCAAACCCTCATAGCCCCCAGCCCCCAGCCCCAACCACCGTCACAGCCACCGCCACTGTTCTGGTCCAACCCCTTGCTCTCGCTCAACCGCCGCGGCGACGACGAATGGCTCACCACTCTCGCTCAACCCGCGTCCTCAAAGGAGATTGGGCTGCCGCGGCCTCAAGGGACTACTCGCCGCCGCTGCAGGACGCCTCGCCGGCACCTCTTCGCGCCTCCCCTCCGCTTTCGACGCCGGCCACCATCGCGCCCCCCCCCCCCCCC